GGTCAAGCTGGTTTTAGCTGGTATTAGCTGGTCAGTTTCCAGCCTGATGAGCTAAGACCAGGCTGGAAATGGCTGGAAACCAGCCTGGAAGTGGCCAAAACCCCTCTAAAAACCAGCCTGGTCGACCAGCTTAAACCAGCCAACCAGCCTAGGCTGGTTTAAGCTGGATTTTTTAGCAGGGATGTATCGCGATATTTGGACATGGATATAAAAACAATAGCACAGTTCTTCCGGGCCGAGAATAGTATGTAATCGTGCCTCGCCATTCCTGGCACGGTGGAGAAACAACCGTAACCATACCGAACTCTTCTTAGAAGAGCGGCTATTGACATTGATGACACGCATGACATAAAATTTATGGTGCCTATATGCCACTGGTGCTGCGACAAGGACGTAAAAAGTATTAAGGGGTGCATCAAAGGCACACACAAGCCCCTTTTACGCATACAAACTTTTCCGGAAAATTACCGACAATTTTCCGTAAAGAAAACCCCTAACCCCTTCTATGTTTTCAAATACAAGCACAGCCGTTCAGAGGTCATTTCTGGTTAATGATGTCAAAATTAAGCAGTATTTTGGAACGGATGTGTGAATGGTCTTTTCCAGAAAAATTCCGGAACGTCTGTGCCCGTGTGAACAGCGCTTTTTTTGAAATTAACAGTAAAGTCGTTCCGCAAATTTTCCAGAAATTTACCTGTATCACTGTGAAAGTGGCTAATGAGTTCAATGTACTCAAATGGCCTCACAATCCCTAGAACTCAATCCAATTGAGCACCTTTGGGATGTGGTGGAAAGGGAGATTTGCATCGTGGATGTGCAGCCAACAAATCTGCAGCAACTGCGTGATGCAATCATGTCGATATGTAGCAAAATCTCTGAGGAATATTTCCAGTACCTTGTTAAATCTACGCCATGAAGGATTGAGGCAGTTCTGAAGGCAAAAGGGGTCTAACCTGGTACTAGTAAGGTGCACCTAAGAAAGTGTATTGTAGTAGTGTCTGGTGCAAGGCCAGCAGGGGGCGCCCAACCTGCGGTCTGTGTGGGTCCTAACGCCCCAGTATAGTGACGGGGACTCTATACTGCTCAGTGAGCGCTGTCTTTCGAATGAGATGTTAAACCGAGGCTCCGACTCTCTGTGGTCGTTAAAAATCCCTGGATGTCCTCCGAAAAAGAGTAGGGGTTTCACCCCGGCATCCTGGCCAAATTTGCCCACTGGCCTCCGTCCATCATGGCCTCCTAACCATCCCCATATCATAATTGGCTTCATCACTGTCTCCTTCCCACCAATCAGCTAGTGTGTGGTGTGCGGTCTGGCGCAATATGGCTGCCATCGCGTCATTCAGGTGGATGCTGCACTTTGCTGGTGGATAAGGAGACCCCCCCCCCCCCCCATTGTGTAAAGCACTTTTAGTGCCAAGAAAAGCGCTAGTAAGGAAGTATTATTATTATTATTATTATTAAACAGCGCTGATTGGCCATTGTGTTCAACAGAAATGCCTGTGATTGGCTGTAAAGGTCATCGATTCTCCATTCTTCACCACTGTTCATCGAGCGCAAACAGACACACGGATTTCAAAGTCACGTCTCAGCTGTTTAACATGTATTTTTATTATGTTGTTTGTAGAGGTGTGAACCTACACTGGTCTGACGGTTCGGTTACGATTATCATGCCGTCTATTCGGTTCAAAACAATATCTCGGTGCATTGACGATGCTTTTCATACACAGTGTTGTATTTTGGGAGGAGGCTATAACAAGCTGTCTGTATCAACACACACAGACACAGACACACAGCATCACACTGGCTGCGTCCGAAACCGCATACTTCCATACTATACAGTACGCTAAATCAGTATGCGAGCCGAGTAGCATGTCCGAATTCATAGAATTCGAAAATCAGTATGCGAGAAGTACCCGGATGACTTACTACTTCCGGCGAGATTCTGAAGTGCGCATCCCATGGATGCTGCGCTATCCCATGATGCCCCGCGAGAGAAATCATGAATGGAAGTGAGGCGACGCAACTGACGCAGGTAGGTCACATGACCATGACAACATGGCGGATGTAGTACGTCCGAATTCCATTCATACTTTTCACATTCATACTGTATAGAACGTACTTTTCTAACTGCCGAGTAGTACGTTTACATTCAAATGCAGTACCTACTGAGTAGTAGGCAGTTTCGGACGCAGCCACTGTCTTTCATTCACACACGTACACAAACATAGACAGCACCAAACAAACAAGCATGCGCGCTTGCTTGCTCGGGAGCGATATTGTGAGACCGCCCACTCCTGTTAAAATTACACCAGAGTTACCGACCACTCCCGCGATTTAATCGCAGAGAAATAGGGGCTTCTGTTGTAAGTGTCAGGGAAAAACTGTACAGAAAACACACATGCGCAGTGAAATTGTGCACAGTTTCTGCGTTGGCTCCTAGAGTGTTGTAAAAATCGCCTCCCTCGCGACAGAGCGCATATGAGGTGAATGACGTCAGTACATACTAACCGGTTATGATTATTACTGAACCGATACCAAATTGTCCGCGTCTGCATCGCGGTGAACCGAGGAAACAATTAATTTTGACACCCCTAGTTGTTGGTTTTAAGTCCGTACATATGTGGTTGTGGTTATGTATTTGTTTACGATATAAACACCATCTTGCTCTTTTTTTTTTTTTTTTAAACTCCAGATCTGACTGAACTAAAAAAGGAGCAGGAACAACTGAGGGATCCGATCAAGGAAGATCAAGATTTCAAAACTGAACACGAAGATTCCACTCACTCACAGACAGAAGTAATCCAGAGCTCTCTCACATGCAACCAATGCGGGAAAAGTTTCACCCACAAACAAAATCTGAGGGTCCACATGAGAGTCCACACTGGAGAAAAGCCCTACAGGTGCTCTCAATGCGGATTGAGTTTCACGCGTAAACAAACTCTCAACGGCCACATGAGCATTCACTCCGGAGTGAAGCCTTATCTGTGTGCCCAATGCGGACTGACCTTTTCATACCGGAAAAATCTTAATCTGCACATGAGAATTCACACCGGAGAGAAGCCCTACTCGTGCACCCGATGTGAACTGAGTTTTAGGAAGAAGCAATGTCTTAAAATCCACATGAGAATTCACACCGGCGAAAAGCCGTACCTGTGTGCCCAATGCGGACTGAGTTTTACGCACAAACAAACTTTTAACAGCCACACGAGGAATCACACGGGAGAGAAGCCTCACACGTGTGCTCAATGCGGATCGAGTTTTGCCACTAAGCAATCTCTCCGTATCCACACGCGCATTCACACCGGCGAAAAGCCTTACATGTGCTCCCAATGCGGGATAGGTTTCACACATAAAAATGCTCTTAATGTCCACTTCACTTCTCACACCGGAGAGAAGCCCTACATCTGCCATCAATGCGGATCTGGTTTCACACGTAAACATGCTCTTAACACCCACCTGGTAATTCACACCGGACAGAAGCCTCACAAGTGCTCTGAATGTGGACTGAGTTTTACGAAAAAAACGGCTCTTAATAGCCACGTCAGGATTCACAACGCAGTAAAGCCGTACACGTGCTCCCACTGTGGACAGAGCTTTAAGCACAAACAAACTCTTAATATCCATCGGAGAGTTCACACCGGAGAGAAGCCGTACTCTTGCACTCAGTGTGGACAGAGTTTTCCGCATAAACAGACTCTCCGTAGCCACTTGAGAATTCACACCGGAGAGAAGGCTTACGCGTGCTCTCAATGCGGAATGAGCTTTATGTATAGACGAGGTCTTAATGTCCATGTTAGGAGTCACTTCCAGTAATGCCGAGTTCAGACTGCATGATTTTGACTCACCGACAGGCTTTGAGAAATCGTTGACAATTTGGTGCTCGTTCACGTGAGTTATGCTGTGTTCACACCAGACGTGGAACGCGCGGATAAATCTTGCTATTCGCGTGTAAATAGCCGCGTGAACATTTGAGTTTACTCGCTTCATTTGCACGTCAAATCCGCCTCATTTGCGCATCAAATTCACTTCAGAACAGACGCGGATTTTGCGTGATGGGCAGGACTTCTGTCTGCCTGGTGCCTCTTTTGCTTCATAGCTAAATGGCTAACATGGATTTTATGAAGAAAATAACAGTGTTTATGTGCTTTATGAAGGCTGAAAAACAGCGTCGATACGTTTAGGGTTGTGTCTGAGTCCACTACATACTTTCAGAGGTGCATCCAGCTCTGTGAGCTCATTAACTTCTCCAGAAACTGAACCTGGCTGATGGAGGCTTTTTGCGGTGCTTCTGACTGAGCCCAGCCCAGTTTGATGAACTTGTTGTCGATGTCGGCTGTAGGATTTTCCCTGGGACACCCACAACAGGCGATACATCACAATCACGCCCCCACAAGAGCAAGCTTCTGATTGGTTAACGTGGCGCGAATGTGTATTGTAGTTTAGATTTTTCGAACTCAAGTGATTCGCGCAAAACACGTTAAGCATTTCAAACTCGCAAAACGCTCAATTCGGGCCGCGCCATTCGTGCAATTTGCGCCGCACAATGTCTATACGCGCGTTTGCATTGATTTAACATGTAAATCACTCGCGCTTGATGCGCGTTCCGCGCCTGTTGTGAATGCAGCATAACAATCACTTAGTGTGAACTATCGAAGACACAATCTGCGAGAATCATCAATGGGTCGCCAACAGTGCATCACAATGCATTTGCTACACAAGACATTCGATTATCATTCAAACAATTTACGTTTATATTATATACTCATGTAGTATTTATATATTAATTAATGTAAAGGATGAAGGAAAATGACGACTTTTACCAATAGATGTTCTTTAGTTAATCAAAACATAATTTTAATAATAATTGGCGGTTCATTCCTCTGTGGCGACCCGAGATTAGTAAAGGGACTAAGCTGAAAAGAGAATGAATGAAAAATTGCCACGTAATACGATATGTCAAACATTGTACTTCAAAATAAAGGTTTTCTTTTAATAACATTTACCTGTCAATGTTTGATTTGACTCGTCCAATTAGAATTACGCACCATCATCATGAAATAACTTCACTGTCTTTTAAGTGAGGGTTTTTGTTCTGGCTCAACAAAATGCCTCCTATTAAGGTGTTTTTCTGATGTTCTACCCTGGTACAAATGCGTGAAGGAGAGCAGTTCCAGCAAATCATCAGAGATACCCTAAGCCTAATGCATATTGAATGTTGCATATTAATTTTATGTTTGTAAATATATTCTAACCTTTATTTTACCAAGTAAAACACATTGAGATTAAAAATCTCTTGTACAAGAGCGTCCTGGCCAAGATTAGGCAGTACACATAAATCATTTTGTGATCTAGAATATATTATATAAAATACACACTTTATTACATAATAGATTTATTTAGATTAATTTATCGAATTAGTCAATTCATTTCAAAGCGATGACTTTTATTCTGAATTGGACTGTGACGTCATTAGCATATGCGCCGCGCTCCGGCGTCTGTTGTGATTCGGCTGAGAAAAGGTTCGTGTTTTTAACGGTTTAATTCGTTTTAATTGCTGGTTGATGCTGTTGAATGTTGTCTTTTCTTTATAAACGATATTGTTAAAGTAACATTACTTAATTATAAAGTCTAACGTGTGCTTTTTAATGGGGTTTTGTGTGAATAAAGCGCCTCTGTATGACAGAAGTGATGGAGATTTTTGAAACCTGCTGGTCAACTGAAAACGAAGAACAAACATTAACGTTACTTTAGTAAACAACCTGCGGTTTACACGAACAAACCTGTATAAAATATGTTCTATAATTATGCCTCAATAAGCCTTTTAATAAGTTGTAAGGTTATTTTTAATCATGTGTACTAATAATTATAATAAGTCTGTATTAAGGCTCTCACTCAGACTGACTCCCTCACTAGTGCACTGACTAGTGAACTAGTGGACAGACCGATTTAGTTAGCATTTATTCGTCTCTCTGTTGATTATTCTCCTCTTAAACACACAGAAAAACTCTGAAGTTCCATGTGACGCTATATTAAAGATGGCGTTTATTAAAGAGGAGAGTGAAGACGTGAAGATTGAAGAAACATTCACACATGAAGACATCAGGATTGCTGAAGTGTTCTCGCTGAAACAAGAAGATCCCGAGGAACAAACAGGTTGGTTTTCATTCTCAAAGCTGAACTCAGTCATTTGAATAGAGGTAAAGTTGGATTTATATTCGGTCATTCAGACTTTCCCCTTAATAATATAATTTCACCAAAGTAGTATTTGCAAACTCTAAATAGGGAAATCATATTAGCAGCCAATGACTATCAAAGTACAACATTGTTCACAGTCAAATAAACAGTGCTAGTGTTGTTTTCCAGTCACACTTGCATGCTAATTCAGATTGAATATTCAAAGTAACACATTAAACAATATAGAGACTTCTTAATGAACGAATGTCTGAATATAAAACTAACTTCACCTCTATGTCATTTGATTCTCAATCAGATCTGCAGATCTACACTAATAAAGGAGGATTTTGAGGGTGTTCTCATTATAGTTAAAGATTAAAAAGCCCAAACAATTATCTTATTCAACCCAAAAAGTTTCCTATTAAGAATTTATTATAAACAGGGTTCAACGCAAAGGTTTTTTTTTCTACTGGTTCAGATTTTTACTTGCCCAACCAAAAAAAAAAGTTAATAGCTATTTCTTAGCCACATACAGTATTTTAAATAACGTGTCAAAAGACAAATATAATTGTAATACTGTACATACCCTTTTTATTCAGCGTAACAAACTGACAATTTAAAAAAATACAATTGTGATGTGACTAAATTTGATAGTGTGTATGTATATAAGTTTACAGTACCGGTCAGAAGTGTAGGGTCAGTTTTATTACATTTTTTACAGTTTTTTTTTTAAGGAAAGCTATTGTTCCTCAAGGACATTTATTAAATGTAATTTTAGAAAAAATGTTAAATATTTATTGTAATTTATTCAATTTTAATGTAATTTAATTTATTAGTTATTTATTAAATATTTATGTAAAAATAACTGCTTTCTTGTTGTGTAAATTGCTTTTATTACTATAACTGTTAATAATAATAATAATAATAATAACAGCAATAATAATTAATATCAGAGTGATTTCTGAAGGATCACGTGACTCTGAAGACTGGAGTGATGAAGCTAAAAAATCTTTCAAATCACTGGAATAAATGATTAAATTAAATGATAAACTACTTTTAAACAGTTATTTTATAGTGCAATAAAATTTCACAATTTTACAGTTTGTTCTGTATTTATGATGAAATAAATGCAGCCTTGGTGAGCAGGAGTAGCTGATGTTAAAACATTTAACAATCATACTGACCCCAAACTTTTGACCAGTTGTGTATTTTATAAGTGAAAATGTGCACTTTAATTTCGACACCCACAGATATAGTCACCAAATATAAATCAGAGAGGTCAGACTCTCATACAGAGCCTCATTTCAGCTGTCAAGTTTTGTAAAAATCGATCTATAGAATTAATCTATCTATTAAGGAAATGTTGGCTAGAATTCTGCATTAGGCTTAAATTATAGAGAGAAATAACAGATGAGCTGAGACTGAATAAATCAGCTCAATCGAGCAGAGACCACCTCATTTAGGTGATTTCGGATCGATTGATTTTCATGTTGATCTGAGCCCGATTGCTGGATTCACATATGGCAAACAAACCGCGCTAATTACAGGGCAACGAGACAGATTCCGAAACAAACGTCTATGTGTGAAAGCACCCTAAGATTGTATTTGTATGCAACTGTCTGACAGTTGCAGCCAGGGTAAACTTTTGTGACAAGGCAACGCTGGCCCGAGCGTCTCGCACGCTGGCCATGAGGCACAGTCCTTATTGTCGAGCCCTGATATAGCTATAATGTTAAATCAGAATGACTTAAAACTAGAATCAGAAATGGCCAATAAAAAAAAAAAAACTAATAAAATACCTCATTTTCAGGGGTATAAATGCCATAATTGTTCTTTTGAGTGGAAGGAAAAAAAATGTAAAAAACATGCAATAGTTTCTACAAAACAAACACTAATAATTACAAAATAAAGAGCTAGACTCGTATCATTTCAGTGATCTAGCATATCATTTCTGTGAAGCTCCACAGGTTCAGGGAGAGCAGTGCAGCCTATAGGGTTTCTTTCTATTTTACATCTGATAAAATAAGAGGAATATTTAAAATAAATAAATGAATAAAAGGTCAATTATTTCAGAATTGAGTAATGCATGTTAGCTAGTTACTTATTCTTACCACTAGAAATGTCAAAAGTAAATCTAGAACCTTGCTCTGAGGTCAGGAACTGACTTACTACTGTTTCAGTTTAGTGCCGTCAGCTGACATTTTAACTGAAGTACACTGAAGTTTCCACTGTCACTTCCGGGGCCTAATCGGGCCTAATCGGGGCTTTCTTGGGGCCAGTGGCCGGCCTTTTTTGGCCCGCCGAATACCTTGGGCCAAAGAGGGCCAGCTGGGGCTTCGGGGCGGAGTGAAAGGAGAGGCGGGCACAGTTTCCGATCGAACACGAGTACATGCGCCAAACACATAAACAAATAAATAAATAAGGAAAAAAAAACATCTAACCTTATAGTCTGGGGTCTTTTGCGTATGATCACCCTTATGTTTCCCTTTTAAATGTAAGGCTGTTGCATAAAATAATAAAGTAGTTTTAATTTATAGTGAAATTCTTTGCTGCCTCCTTGATGTTTCAATAACGCATAATAATCTTTACACCATATTAAAGACACAGCAGACAGTAAAGGTTTTCGGGAGTTTTTGTTAAGTTTAAAAGGTGTATTTGTGCACGTTTAAATGCCTGTATGTGTGTGCGAGATCGAGAAAAAAAAGAGCGCTCCCTTTATGCCAGGCCCGGATTGGCTAATCTGGAGAACCGGGAGAATTCCCGGTGGGCCGGTGCGTTTGTTTGGCTGTGAGGGCCCGTGTCCCTAGCTGCTTGCGCTCTCACCAGTCGCACTTTTTTCATTTATTTGTTTATTTGACCACAACCTCACTCTTTTTATTCATTATTTTGCCGCAGCTCCGCTCTTTTTGTTTATTTTCTCGCAGCCCCGTGAGCAAAATGCAGCCCTAAACAGCGGCACCTTAGTGAATATTAATTAATATTAATGAATATTACACCTGCTCAATGAAAATCAGATGATTCACTACATTAATAAATCTGACATAACTTGATCAGAAATCTAGAAAGGGGAGAAAAAAGAAAAAAAAAGAGTAGACATGAATAGCAGCAGTTAACTATGCATTCCTTAACAGTGCCATCTTGGTCTAGTGCAGGGGTTCTCAACTGGTTTGGCCATGGGACCCACATTTTTACATGGTCATCAAGCCGCGACCCAAATTTTTAGGATCTATAAAACAATTTTAGGAATTATAATTTGTATTTATTTGTTAACATAAACAAGCACTGATACATCAGAAGACTGACACATCATAAGAAATTTACCAAGACTTACAAATAAACACTATTTTATTGATGTCATTCAACAAAATAGATAAAATTATAGAAATATTACAAAGTAAAAACGACAAATATTGTTCATAATAAACTCTTAATAAAACATGTTTTCTGGTTTCTAAATGTTGTTTTAACATAGAAGGTTTTATGCTCTTTTATGAGAGCACCTCACTACATATGACACACTGAGGCTTTAAGTCTTTTTTGTCGTCAATATATATATATATATATATATATATATATATCCATACTTAACATATTTGTGGTCGTACTTGCGCTTCGACATGTTTGTTGCAATAATTAAATGAAATTTCACTTGTCAAACGGTAGGGTTGTCGCGCACGCATTTCAAAATAAAAGTCTGGTATAAGCAAAATAAGTACAAAATCAAACTTTTGTTGTTGTTTTTTGACCACACACTCCGCGACCCACTGAAAATGTTCCCGCAACCCACCTGTTGAGAAACACTGGTCTTGTGGCTATAGCATTACGTTAGGATGCTGCCGATCCGAGTTCGGACCCCAACAGCATGTAACATCATTTTTTCAGTTTCAGTGTTAAGACATAAAATACTGTTTGGGTTACTTATGTAGGGGTACATTTTTTTTTGACGGTGACAACAATTACAAAGGACTGGGTATCTATAAAGAATTAATGTTCTCATATTTATGATAAACATTTCAAGTTCTAAAGCAGCCGTGTCCTTGAAAAAGACGTGTTAGTGTCATTAGAAACTGAATTGGAGAATGACGTTAGTTTAATATAGTCAGTCGTCGACTGAGGTGGGCCGGTCTAAGGCTTAGAGAGCTAAAAAGGAGTCCCACTCCGTCCCTGGTTGATGCTACACGGCTTTTTTTATTATTTATTTTGGAGATAATAATACACAATATGAATACAACAGAAAGACATAAAACTTAACAAATTACGTGCCATTAAATATAGTTTAAAGAATTACGAATATCGGATATAATAAAGTCACATTAATGTGTCCACAGCAGAATAGTCGGAAATGAGCATATTATGCTACCATACATCAGTACAGTATACAGCAGGGCTATTCCATTAGTTTGTCATGGGGGCCAGTTCATGAAAAGCATCCCAAATGAGGGGCCGGAGAGATATGACTAGCATTATGAGTGATGACACAACAGCATATAAGAGCCCGTATGCTGTATTTTTGCTCCTTAAGACCCCCACGTTGGCTTTTTCTGAATTAAAATGTTAATATATTGTACTTTGAAACTACATAGTATCAGTGCATCGTACAATAGGCTTTTTCCAAACATATTCAAATGTTGTATTATTAAAGCACAACAAAAGCTGTGCATTGCTCAAGTAGGCTTCTTCTGCATTCAGACACATTCATAGGTTGTGTTTTGAACTGCGTAACAATTAGGGATGCAACGATTATAGACTTTCATTGTACAATTATATAGTCTGAAGAATAATGGTTGTCACGATTATTATGCATTTATTAAATTCAAAACACTACTAGTTTAGACAATCACAGGAAAATGTTGTTTATTGCTGCCCAGTAACCAAATACAGCAGAAAAAAATTATAATAAAAACAAACAATAGTCCATTTCTGTCTTGGCAAATTTTCTGATTTAAACATGAGTGATTAATTTTACAACAAAAGTAAAT